ACCTTAAAGTCTATGAGTCTATATCAGCATTCCACTTGAGTGCACAGGGGCACTTGGTCTTTGTGAACCCCATGGTAAATTAATTCTTAAAAGGCTTTGATAGACTCTCCCCTCAGGTATGCCAACCTGTCCCCTCCTGGGATCTCAACCTAATCCTTTCCAGACTGTTGAGACTGCCATTTGAACCATCAGTCTGCCTGCTGCCCTGGTGGCCATCACTTTGCCCAGGAGGGTCTCTGAGCTCAGGGTACTGACATTAGAGACCCTCTATACCATATTCTATAAAGACAAAATGCAGCTCTGATCCCATCCTGCTTTCCTCCTGAAGGTGGTGCCACAATTCCACATCAACCAGGACATCTTCCTACAGGTATTCTACCTGAAGCCACATGTTAGCGGTCAAGAACAGACACTTCATTCTCTGCATTCCGCACTGTGCTAACCTTTTACATTGAAAGAACAAAACTGTTCAGAAGGTCATTTCATTTATTCATTTAGCCATGGCAGAAGGAAAGGTCAATCTGTACCCTCTCAGTGCATCTCATCTTGGATAGTGTCCTGCATCTGTGAATGTTACAGTCTTGCAGGAGTGCCTGCACCTCCATTCACTTCACACTCCAGCAGGATGCAGGCCTCTTCCACCACATTCCTTGCACAGATCCCTACTCAGAAAATCTGTATGGTAGCTACCTGGTCTTCCATTCACACCTTCTCTTCACACTATGAGATCACCCATCTGTCCAAGGATGATGTTGCATTTGCACAATCAGTGTTCCAGTCAGTGGAAGACTCTGAGCCTGCCACCTGAACTTGGGCTTGTTAGTCACCTGATTGGAATGCACATGAATAAGCACTCAACAAAGAAAAAAACGTTACTTACCTTCTCCTGACTTTTGTTATTTTAGATGTGTGGTTAATGTCCATTCTTATACCTACCATTCTGCCCTCTGTCAGAGTAGCCAAAAGAAGGACTGAGGAGGGCACAGGTTGGCAGGGCTCTATGTTATGCACCATAAGGTCATGACTCCAGAGAGTGCCCAGGCAGACCCAACAGCTAGCTGCTAGGAAAAATCTTCCGGATACCGTGCACGTGTGCATGTGCATTCACCTGATTGGAGTGGACATGAACAACACATTTCAAAGAATAGTTATGAGAAGATAAACTTTAAAAACAACAAATGGTTGTTCTGAAGAAGTGGGCTGTGCCCACGAAAGCTCATAATACCATCTACATGTTTTGTTTGTTTTTAAAGTTTATCCTGTACAGACTAACTCAGCTATCCCCGGAAGTTATGAGAAGGTGAGTAACCGTTTTTTCTTACACTTTGCGGCAAAGGGACAATGATGTATTAGTTCCTCTCTCACACTGTATAGACAAGATCTCTCAGAGCCATTAGCACTGCCTATAGCACTAGGAACTGATTAGTTCCACCTGTTATTTTTACACCAGTAGCACATGTGATTTGGACTCTTTTTTTCTGTGAATAAAAGTCATTTACTTTATTTTGATTTTTTCCCCCATGAATTGAGCTCTTTTTCTATCTAAGGAATCCTCTTTGCTATCTTTGTTAAAAAGTTCTTAAACCAGTCTTAGTCTAAATTTCTGCAAAATATTTAATTCGATGAGTCAAAATTAAACAATAAAGGAAAAAAAATCACTATTTTAAACACCTAGACTAGCGTTACTGTGTTTATTATATTTTTCAGTCATTAATGCTGCCCGTTGAGTTAGAATCCAACAAGACAATAAACTTCAATCAGAAAGTTGAGATTCCATCGTGGTTGGAATTGAAAGAATTGTTAAAATTAGCACCAGAAATTATAGCAGATGAAAGCGAGAGTGAAAAGAAAATCAAAGAAGGTGAGGATTGTTTTCTTTATATTTTGGGCCCAATTCTCCTCTAATCTACGCAGTTTTTACACCACTATCTTTTTAACTCTTTTATCTTCATTTGAATTATTACTGATTCAGAATAGTACATATCAGATGAGAATAAGACCCATTCTGTGTCTGAAATTATGTAGCAGGTTTGACATATCAAATTTCAAAGTATGAAAGTTTTCTGTAAGCAGCCAAAAGGAAGTGATCTCTTACGTACTGTACTCTTCATTTCAGGCCCATGTTATTTCAGGAGCAGCTATTGTTAATGAGGTGGAAGAGTGATTCTAATGACAAAAATTGAATAGACTAGTGATGCTAAGATGAATTTTCTTAGAGACATTCCAGAGTAGTTTCCAGTAATTCATGCAGTACAGTCACTCTATATAAATTGTCCACAACATTATAGGAGGAGTTTATAATAGACTCTGTATTTACTACCATATCTTTTTCAAAATACTCTTATGATCTTGTCTTTGAGTTTTCCCACATGCACTGTTGGAAGCAGATCTTTGATATTTTGTAGTGTGAGAGTTATTCCCCTGCTGACGTGCCATGAAACTCCATTTACATTTTTCTATTAAACTTTTAAAATACTTATTTTGTTCTCTTTTGTGCCACAGGAAAGTTTTGACAGCTTGCCAAATAATAGCTAAAAATATAAATGTTCTGTATGCTGCCAAAGTAGCAGTGGCAGATGATAAGCTATGTCTACACAACAGTGTTATTTTGGAATACCTGACGCTATTCCGAAATAACAAAGTTCACGTCTATACTACAAGCAGTTATTTTGACATAATGTCGAAATAATGTCGAGCTGGAGGACTTCTTACTCTGATTCCTGTAACCCTCATTGTACGAGGAGTAAGGGAATTAGGAGGAAGAGTGCTCTTTCTTGGACTTCCTGCTGTGTAGTCAGTGCCAAAAGCCAAAATAAGCTATTTCGACTTAAGCTACATGAATTGCGTAGCTTATCTCAGCTTTAGCCCTGCTGTGTTGATGTGCCCATACTGTATTGTGAATACCAAAGCAGCTATAGCAATGGAGTGAAACTAAGGCTACAGCTACACTGTAGCCTTCTTTTGGAAAAGCTTATGCAAATGAAGCGTGGCGTGGAATATCACCGCTTCATTTACATAATTAATTAGCAGCCGCTTTTGCACAAGAGGCTTTTGCGCAAAAAGGACCTGTGTAGATAGTTCCTTTTTGCGCAAAACCCCCCTCTTGCACAAGAGCCGTTCTTCCTCATTTTTTTTAGGAAGAACGGTTCTTGCGCAAGAGGGGATTTTGCACAAAAAGGAGCCATCTACACAGTTCCTTTTTGCGCAAAAGCCTCTTGCGCAAAAGCAGCTAATTAATTATGCAAATGAAGCACAACAATATTCCACATTGTGCTTCATTTGCATAAGCTTTTCCAGAAGAAGGCTACAGTGTAGCTGTAGCCTAAGAGATGTGCTGGGCTCCACATCCCTCTGGTTCTGACCCATGACCCCAGTGGTCTATGGAGCAGAAACCCACCATTTTTTGATTGGGGGAAGAGAAGTAGGCCAGCTTCTCACAGAGTAACCCCTCAGCACTTGACCAGTGATCTATTTCCTCCCTACCTTCCAAATATACCCTATGAGCCTAGATATCCTCAATCTCACACTGTGGACAGACAGAACCAGTTAGGTTCCCCTTACCACTACCACCAGAATTCAGTGTGCATCACTTTTTGATTACAGATTTCTCCTCCTGCTAGCTAAGGGTATGTCTACACTACCCCGCTAGTTCGAACTAGTGGGGTAATGTAGGCATACCGCACTTGCAAATGAAGCCCGGGATTTGAATTTCCCGGGCTTCATTTGCATAAGCGGGGCACCGCCATTTTTAAAACCCCGCTGGTTCAAACCCCGTGCAGCGCGGCTACACGGGGCACGAACTAGGTAGTTCGAACTAGGCTTCCTAGTTCGAACTACCGTTACTCTTCATTCCACGAGGAGTAACGGTAGGTCGAACTAGGAAGCCTAGTTCGAACTACCTAGTTCGTGCCCCGTGTAGCCGCGCTGCACGGGGTTTGAACCAGCGGGGTTTTAAAAATGGCGGCGCCCCACTTATGCAAATGAAGCCCGGGAAATTCAAATCCCGGGCTTCATTTGCAGTTAGGGTATGTCTACACTACCCTCCTAGTTCGAACTAGGAGGGTAGTGTAGACATACCCTAACCTAGTTAGGCCTTAGTCCTTTTAGCTGCAGTGGTAGAAGCTTGTGTGACAATGCTGAAGGTTCACAAGTGAAATCCTACTTGCGGTATGGAGTTGCTGTAGTTGTATATATTATAGAATTACAAAACCACAAAAATGAAAAGGAATGCATGTAGTTAAAAACTAATATAAATACTACCTTTAAAGAGAGATAATTAGGTTGAAAAGTCAAGGACTTGAAAGTTAGGAAATACTTTATGATTATCTGTGCAATTTAATTTGGGTGTATGCATTATAGTACTGTCAAATTACATGCACATTTGCTTTGCTTTTCCCATAGAATCATTGCTTTATTCAGTGCACAGAGTTGATTCACAAAGGGATAATATTTACAGTTGTATAAGCAACCATAAATCTGGAATGTCCTAACTTTTCAGTGGTTGACTTTGCAACCTAAACAACATTCTTTAATGCAATTTTCATATGTAATAGTGCATTGTATAATCTACCAAATACAAATAAACTATTTTATTACAATAAACAATAAATATTTGATTATATATATTTGTAAACTAATTGCAATTTTTACAACTGTACATATAAGCAAATAAAAGAAATATCAATATCTAAAACATTATACCCAAGAAACAAAATAATAAATACTAATGACAGCATTTCCACAATACAAATAAGTATATCAAACTTTTGTCAATGCATATCAAAATGTAATCTCAATTATTGTACACTTCATTGGTGCTAAGTATTGTTATTATTACTTAGTATACATAATAGGGTTCTCTTTAAAAACCTATGGAAGGCCTGAGGTTAGCATCACAGAACACATTTAAGCAAAAACAAACAAAAAATTTGTAAAATGCCTTCTGCAGTGTTTGTATTTCGGTTGCTTCTAGTGGTTCAGGTAAAAACACTGCCACCTTAACACAGGCCAATATTCTTTGCATATCTATCAAATGTTTAGCATGAACTGAATAAAATGATTAATAGTTTAAACATATATGAAGATAAAGTTATTTATGAACCTGCTGTTTCCCAGTGTTTTCACCATACGTCTTATGTTCTTCCACCTCAGAGCAGATCAGCCTTTCATATATCCCTGGATTTGTATCTGCTCTGATTTCGTAAGTCAGTACTGCTATTTTTAGCCCTGGGAAGCTAGGGCAGTATGCCGGAGGAACTTTTCTCTCTTTATGTCAGGGAAGCCCTTTCCCAGGAATTAACAAGATCAGTCTAGGGTTTGGACTGACATTTTAAAGCTTTAGCATTTGTCTCTAAATACAAGAACAAATGAATGTTCAGTGAAACTGAAAAGTGACATACTAAATTGATAAAAGAAATACGTTTTCACACAAAATACAGTTAGCCTGTAATACTTACTGTCATGGGATATAATTTAGGCTATGATCACAGCATGTTTCCAAAAGGGATTAGATATTTATACAGCTAACAAGAATAGTCAATGTTATAATAGTAATTATAAAAAAAGAGTTTTGGAGGTATAAGAAACCCTGTGGCTTTGCAGGACTAGTGTTGCAGGGTTACTTGTGGCCCTAGCTCATCTGTACAACATGAACAAGTCTATGGCCGAAGCCTCAGCTTGTCTGGTTTATGCTTTTAGGTCGAGAGATCCTCGGTTTGATCCCAGCTTCTGACAATCCAATTATGGGAGTGATGTTTCAAAGTTAGGAAGAAACTTCCCCTAAGGACAGGCTATTCCACATCTACCTAATGCAGGTTTTTTGCACCTTCCTCTGAAGCAGCTGGCTCTAATCATTGGAAGTGACAGGATATGGGATTAGATGGACCACTAGTATGATCACATAGTGTGATTGTTATGGTATCACAAATATCTTCTGCTGTTTTATATTTATAACTGGTGGTAACTCTAGTACTGGTATTGTTAATTCAAATGATAATGTGGCATCAATCAAAATAGACACGAAAACGTTGTTCAAGGAACAGCTTTGAGGAAGAAATGAAATAAAATTGATATTATTGTGATACCTTTTTATATCTTTTCAGATCTTATTGCAAATATTACAAATGAAATAGAGATTTCAAAATACTGTCCCACAGAAGAGGTTTGTGTCAATCAAAGCAGAAATCCACAGGAATACTGTGAGGCAGGTAGGAAGTGGAATATACATAAATCCAGTGCTTGTTTTAAAGAACAATTATTTTTTATTATACATATGCCTAGGACACCTCCTACCCCAGACCACACTCCTGCCCCTCTTCTTCCTGCCCCGCCCCCCACTCCACCCCTTCCTCCAACCCTTTGGTTCAGGTTCCAACCCTGCTCCATCCCTACCTCACCTCTTCCTGCCCTTGCTCTGTCCTCTCTCTGCCCCCATTTCTTCCCTTCTCTTAAGCCCCCTTCCCTGTGCAACACTGGTAGCTAGCAGAACCAAGCAAACCAGTGGCCAGATTGCTCCACTTCCTGCCACCACCAATGAGTGCAGGTGTTGGTGTGGGCCCAACCCCTGCTGTTGGTGCCAGGCCTCTCTCTAATTCCCTGGGCTACTTTGGCCCCATGCTACTATATTCTCCTGAAGCATGGAGCCTCCCAAAATCTGGGGACTGCGGCAATTGCCCTGAACTGTCCTATAAATATGGCAACTCTATCCATATGTATTCCATTCTTTGATGTCCATGCAGCCTGTGAGCTCGAGATCAGAATCTGTGGTCAGAGTTCTGACTGCAAAACAGAACTTGCATTTGACTAGCTTTGTTACTAAATAATTTGTTTACTAAGATAAAAATGGCATTGAAAACAAATAAGAAAAATAATCAAAGAAACAAGTTCCTTGTAAGGCAGAAAAATCCATAAGCATGTCTGTAATTCATTTTACTGGGAAAAATAGGACAGTAAATATGACCTAAAAGAGACTGTTTTGACTCTCTAAACTTGTTTAGATAGCTTGCTAAAAATATAGGGGCTAATCTGGCAAGTGCTCTGCATGTGGAATGCCAAATGAATTTGAGTGGGAGTCTTCTGTGACACACATTTACAAGACTATGACTATAAGTAGCACAGAATTTTATTTACATATAAAACAATAATTTACTCTCTCCAAGCTTGAAGTATCTGAATTACAAACTTGCTGATTTCACTGTCAATGTGAGTAACATTAGAACCATCACAATTGCAATTTGAAAGAGCCATTCCGTCTAAGCAAGAGCTACGTGACTGAGCCATGGCTGATCAACATTTAATTAAAAACACCCAAAATAATAGTTGATCGTTTTAAATTCTGAATGGTTGGCAAGGTATGTAGAGATTCCCAGAATCACATAGGAAAACCAGTAAAGAACTGTTAGTTATGCATTATTGTTACCCTTCTTGTCTAGATATAAAGTACTACACTTTGGTCTTTATTGATCAAGTAATAAAACATAGTATCTTCATAATAAACTTTAAAAACTAAATTTAGTTGGGGTCAGAGTTTTACATAAATAATAACATTTCTTTCACTTATATTTGTGAAACGTGGTGTCATTTTCTGCAATTCGCAGTTAGTTATGCTTTATATCCTTCGTATGAAGTAGAAATGCCACTAACTCCTCCATGCAGACCGCAAAGATCACACGTGAATTTGTTGTGTGCAGGACTTCAGGCAGAACCTATTTCTCCTGTTTGTAACAGGTAAGTAAAAATCTAATCAGAATATATAGCTGGTACAATCTCCTCCAAATTAATGCAAAACTGCCATAATTGGATTTTGTTAATTTATGGCCTCATTTTGTGAGATGCTCACTGCCTACAGTTTTGTCTATTGAGCTCTTTGCCTTGGAAACAGTCCAGGAAGTGCTCCCTATCCGTTGTCTCAGTGCATAGAGACTCAAAAGACCAAGAGAGTTGCTTTAAGACTATCTTCCTCTATAAAGGCTTAATGTCCTGAAAATGCAGATTCTTCTTCAATTGGTGTCCCCATGGGTGCTCCACAGTTGGTGTCGGGCACCACGGATTGGAGACTTTGAGAGCAGTGATCAGGCAGGCTGTGCATGCGTGAGCAGAGAGCGGCACTCCTGTCTTTGAAGTAGCGCACGCAGCCCACTTCTCCTCAGTTCCTTCGTTGCCAACCTCGGCCACAGACAGAGCTCAATTCTCTCCTCCTCAGCACACTCTGCAAGACAAAGCAGAACCATTTCATCAGCATAGATAGTCCTGAGGCGAGCACAATATATTTCACCACTGCTTGTGCCCCTTCTATGATCAGTGGGCAGAAATAACTACAGATGGGTGGGTCCTAGAAATCATTAGCTGTGGTTATTCTATCACCTTCACGGCAGTTCCTTCAACCTCCCCACCCTTTCTCTCCCTCTTTAGGGACCTTTCTCACAAGACTCTGCTCCACCAGAATGTTTTACAGCTTCTCAAAATAGGAGCCACAGAGCGGGTCCCCAAAAAATACAAAGGGAAGGGGGTTTATTCGAACTACTTTCTCACTGTAGAGAGAACAGGAGGTTGGAGACCTACCTTGGACCTGCGCCAATTAAACAAATATATTCACAGGCAATGCTTCAAAGTGGTCACACTCAGCACAATAATTCCAGCACTGGACAGGGAGGACTGGTTCGCAGCCCTCGACCTTCAAGATGCGTATTTTCACATCACAATAAACCCCACACACCGGCGCTTCCTATGATTTACGATAGCCTCAAACCACTTTCAATACAGAGACCTCCCATTCAGACTCTCCTCTGCCCCCAGAGTCTTTTCCAAGACCCTTGCGTTGGCCGCGGCATATCTAAGACGGAATGGGATCACAATATTCCCTTAGGTAGATGATTGTCTTATCCGAGATCCCTCACAATGGACTATCAGAGACATGATTACATTCATGAAGACCATGCTTCAGTCACTGGGCTTCATTATCAATTAGCAGAAATCCATATTACAATCTTTGGAGTTCATAGGGGCTCGTATAGACTCCACAATAGCTCGAGCCTATCTCCCCATCACTGTTTCGACAACATAAAAAATCTCATTATGATCATTACCACCAGCCCAATGGTACCCATCATAACGTGCCTGAAAGTCATGGGGCACATGGCTGCGACCACATATGTGGTCCCATAAGCCAGGCTGCGCTTCCGTTGTTTCCAACACTGGATCTCTTTAGTATATACACCAACCAGCCATCAGATCCACAGGAACATTTCCTCTCCCACAAAAGTCCTCACCTCTCTATGGTGGTGGACACAGGCACACAACCTCCACAACGTGGTGCCTTTCCTCCGGGATCAGCCGTGCAAACAAATTAAGATGGATGCCTCACTGATGAGATGGGGTGAATACTTTCAACAACAGTTTGCACAAGGGAAATGGTCCAAAGACGTGTCAAGACTTCACATAAATCTGCTTGAGCTTCGAGCAGTTCACAACACATGCAAGCACTTCCTCCCTTACATTCAAAGCTCTTCCTTGCGTATCCTTCCCGACAATATGACAACTATGTTTTACATCAGCTGCCAAGGGGGTGTGAGATCCCAGTCACTAGGCGCAGAGGCAATCAGACTTGGAATTGGTGCATCCATCATAATATTACCATCTTGGCAGAATACCTGCCTGGAGACAAGAACATTATGGTAGATACCCTCAGCTGCAACTTCCTCACGGAACACGAGTGGGAACTACACGATCAGATCACCCACAAGCTGTTCCACCGATGGGGGTGACCACAGATAGATCTCTTTGTAACTTGGCAGAACTGCAAATGCCCCCAGTACTGCTTGCATGCGGGCATAGGACGCGGCTCCCTGGACAATGCCTTCCCACCCATTCCTCTCATTCCCAGAGTCCCCCAGAAGATATAGCTGGATGGGGCCCGAGTGATCTTGACAGCCCCAGTCTGGCCTCGACAGTATGGTTCCCATGTCTTTATCACCTGTCTCTATGACCTCCCTACCCAATTCCGAGCTACCCAGAACTGCTGTCCCAGAACCAGAGGTCAATACTTTGCCCCCAACCACAAATGCTGCACCTGACAGCATGGTACCTATCTGGTTCTCAGAAGCAGAGCAATAGTGCTCACAACAAGTGGAAATTGTTCTGCTGCATAGCAGGAGACAAACGACATGCAAGACTTAATTATACAAGTGGCACAGGTTTACAGAGTGGTGCACAAACAGGGCAGTTGAACCATTCAGAGCAACGCTCCACCAAGTACTGGAGTACATCTGAAACAACAAAATTTGTCAATTTCTTCACTCCGGGTGCACATGGCCACCATTATGGCCTTCACCCTCCCATTGATGGGTTCTCCATATTTGCACACCCCATCTCTAAAAGATTCTGGAAGTGTCTACAGAACCTTCACCCACCTCAAAAACCCATTCCTTCCACATGGGACTTAGAATTGGTCCTACACTCTCTCAGCCTTTGAACCAATGACAACCGCACCACTTACCTTTCTTACCATGAAAATGTTGTTCCTTCTGGCGATCACTTCTGCAAGGAGGGTCAGCAAACTTGCAGCTCTCACCTCCATAAGTGACCTTTCACAAGCACAAAGTCATCCTGCTGCCACACCCGTCCTTTTAACCCAAAGTGACCCCAGAATTCATATCAATGAACCGATAATCCTTCCCACTTTCTATCCAAAACAACATCGTTCCAGAGAAAAAGCCATATTACACACTTTGGATGTCAGAAGGGCAATTGCCTTTTATCTTGATAGGACTCAATCCTTTCGGTCTTCCCAGAGATTGCTGGTTTCCCTGCTCCAGAATAGGGCATTACCAATGAGTCCAAAGGCCCACTCTGCCAGAGCTATGGCGACATCAGCTGCTTTCCTAAAGGGATTCTCATTCCAGGAGATATGCAGAGCAGCGACATGGTCATCTAATCACACCTTCATAAAGCATTACACTATTCTACAATGCTCCACAACAGATACTGCAGTTGCCACTGCGGTCCTCTCCACAATTTGTAGCAATTAATCGAAGTCCACCATCCATCTCAATGGGCACTTCTACACAGTCACCAACAGTGGAGCACCCACATGAACATCACTCAAAGAAGAAAGAGAAGATACTCACTTTGTGCAGTAATGATTGTTCTTCGAGATGTGTATCCCTGTGAGTGTTCCACAACCCACCTTCCTCCCCACTTCTTCAGCAATAATAGCAGCCCACGAGGACGTCAAAGAAGAAACAGAGGGAAAAGCAGGCTCCACGTGCTACTCCAAAGGTGGTAATGCCACTCTCTGCTTGTGCATGCACAGCCTATCTGATACATGCTTGAAAGTCTCCGATCCGTGGCACTGTGACAAGCCTGACACCAACAGTAGAGCACCCATGGGGACACACATCTCAAAGAACAATCGTTACTGCATGAAGTGAACAGCTTCTTTCCTCTTTGGGGAAGTTGAGGGACTCATACTTCAATGATAATGAATCCTTGAAAGTCCTCAGCAGATAAGCATGCCATTAGCTTATGGCTGTGTGCTGAGAATATGCATGTGGGGGTGGTTCCATGGCTGCTTCTCCATCTGATTTGCTTGAGTAGCCTTCATAGTCTTACTATCCTCCCTCCACAGACATACAAGGACTATAGCAGAGGTCTCAAATTCCTGACCTATGGGCCATCTCTGGTTGGAGGTGTTGCACAGTCCAGCCTGGGAATCGCAGCGGGCTGGGCAGGGGCATCCATTCTTATCTTCCAATCCGTAGCAGCATTTACGACTAGGAACTTCAGGCCTCTTTGTATCGGCAGGCCCTTGAGCAGTTGCCCCCTTTGCTGTCCCCCATCTCCTCTCAGTGGGCCTGCCCCCAAATGAATCAATAAGAGGAATTAGACATTTGGAGAGAAAGTATTTTTGAAAAATGACTTTTTCTCAATGTATTAGCAGAAGAGAGTTGATTTGAAAATCTAAAAAGCTATGATCTAAGCTTCTTACCACAGTATTTCTTTACTTGTTTCTTTGCTTTAGTATTCTGTTTACAGAATCGACTAAGCAGCACTTAGAGCATCTAGTGTGGCAGTCAGAAAAATACCAAAATGCTGTGAACTCTCTTTTGCTTGAAGGTAAGGAAGTGTAAATTCCAATATACTGAACTGATATAAAAGAGTTGTATGTTAAACAGTACAACAGCCTAGAAATTAATCTGGAAAGTGCTTGAGGAAATATATGCAGATATTTGAGGATACATTTTCAAAATTGATATAAATGAATTTAGAATACAAGGAATGTGTGAGTACAGCTCCTATTTGCACACAAAAAAAGTATTCCTTGTGTCTAATTTGGGCTGTTTGATCATTTTCCCTTATATAAATCTTCTTATAAGGCTGCTGACTAGTTTGTCTTTTCACAGTCTTTTTACAAGCTCTGTTGAACCATCAATTTTTATTATAGACTAAGTTGTTCTCATCTTGAATTTAAAAAAAAATCTATATTAATAAATTCCTTAGTGGAATCATATTCATGGAGAGCTAAGTGATAAGTTTCCAGTGCTAAACACAAACATTAGGAAGTGGAATATGGAACCCAAAATAACTAAACTATACATTATTTTTGACCCCAGTAGTATATGTTAAGAAACAGCCCCAGAAGACTTCTGAGAGATATAGGATCATAGAATCTTAGAACTGGAAGGGACCGTGAGAGATCATCGAGTCCAGTACCCTGCCCAAGCTCCATCTAGACCATCCCTGATAGATGTCTGTCTAACCTGCTCTTAAATGTCTCCAGAGATGGAGATTCCACAACCTCCCTTGGCAATTTATTCCAGTGTTTAACCACCCTGACAGTTAGGAAGTTTTTCTTATATATGGAAAATAGTCTATTTACTATTTAGAGTTTTCAGATAATGATTATAATAGGTGCTTGTAATTATGAAAGGTAAATTCATAGATATTGAATAAATCCAGATTATTTGTAATCCAGGAAATGCAGATTTATACCAACAAACTGGATTTATAAGTATTGCTGGGAAATTTAACACAAAAAACAAGGTGAAAAAACATACTTCTTACAGCTATGTAAATGTTTATTAATTTGCTGTTTGATCCAGTGATGATACTGTATTAGAAAGATATACCAATGGATAAACATAATCTAAGTCATGAATATTTTGTTGTTATTTTGCTGTAAAAAATGTTCTTTTCTCAAGTTTCCATTCCATTAATATTTTATACTAGTTTTGTCTTTTTTTGTAGAGACTCAGATCATTGAACCTATATTTCAACATCATTCAGTTACAGAACTGAAAAAGTTACTGTCTGTCCAGGTGGAAGCTCCATTGTTTAGCCCATTAAAATCAGGCTGGTGGATTGATTCAGGACAAAATCTGGTAATACCAGATTCTTTGGAGCAACTAAGCACTGATTTGGGTAGTGAAAATATCCTGTTTCCTACTAAAGTGGAAGTATTCTCACAAATTAAAGAATTTCAGTTAGAAAGTAAGTATATTTGGTTTTGTTAAACAAGTTAAATGACAAGAATGACATGGAGATCTTCAAAAGAGGAATGAGGATCAATCATGCAGTTCAGTGACAGATGCTGGCATTATAGCAATTAACAAAGAAATCAGAAAAAAATTCATTCTCAAGAAAAAAAACTCAGAAAAGCATAAATTAGTCAGCTTTATTACTCTAACGTCTGATTAACAAAAAGTTACAACTGAGTTTCATGGATAACAGTATGTGTGCGCTTACATACTTAATTTGCAGTCACAGTTGCCATGATTTTACTTGCAAATTATGGTAGTTGCAAACCCATGTTAGTCATAACAAGTCTTTACTGTTTCTAATGAAATAGCTAACAGGAGAATTTTTGAAAAGCATATAATTTCAAAGTATTATTAATTAATAATATTAATTAATATATCTGTAATAGTGAATATGTTGATGCAGCAGATTCTTATATCATTCCAGCTTCCAGGATAAGTCAGTGGCACAGGACATGATGTAGTAGACTCAAATTCTATTATAGTGAAGATTCATCAGTATACAGTATTATGCGGGAGTTTATTCACTATGCAGATTTTCAGGGTTGTTTGTGAGCAACTCACATGGAGGAACACTACTACCTTATTATGACAGCTCTATAACACTGCAGACAGAAAACACCGCAGTGCATTTAGCTAAAGTATTGTTAACATGAATATATAAAGTAAGGCAAAGGGTTATGATATTGGTAAATTACAGCTCTAAAATTCATCAAATCATATTCATTTCCTTATATTAAAAATGTTTTCAATAAGTATAGTTACTCACGTTCATAATCAAATTCCTTGCTATTCCACACACAATTTATCATTATGGGGATTTTTAATATGAAGCTATTCCTATTCAATACAAGCATATGTAGTATATATTTTATTTCTCATGCATCCATATCCTTGCAGTGTCCCTTCAACTAGAGCATGTAATTGGTACAATAAATCCATCATGATACCAACTACACTTTTTGTTAGTCTCTGAGGTGCTGCAGAACTATTTGTTGTTTTTTAAGTTAGATCGTTCTTCTTTTTTTCCTACACAGCACTCACTGTTCTGTACGGAAGTGATAATTTATAGATTTCATTGCCCAATCCAGTTGATAGGAAATGGGGGTTCAGGAAATTCATAGGATTTTTTTTTTTAGGTCTTATAGCTCTTCCACTTGATGTGTGTGTTGAAGTGATTGTGTTATCCCCAGTATTTCTATACTTTTGCTGGAGCAGAAGCATGTCCTCTTCTGCACTCTTGATAAACATGACTTTAGTTTCTGTCTGACTCTTGAAATGACCAACATCTTGCAACAAAGACTTCTCTGTGGCAGGGATAGGCAAGACCAGCCCACATAGCCTTTGAATCTGGCCTGCAGCCTGCCTTACCAGGATCCTGAGACAGAAAGCAGCCCCAAGCCATTCAAAGTGGCTGACTGTTCCATGTGTGTCTCTATTCTGGGGGGGAGAGGCTTCAAACACTCTGTCCCTATCCCCATCACAATAGCAGCTAAGAGATTGTGCTCGGGTCAGGGGCAGCTTGTGAAGCCTCCCCCTCACTCCCTGTGCAGAGCCTCCTTCTGGCACCCTGCAAATCCTTCCCTCCTGCCCATTCCCTGCTCTAAGCCATCACCCCCTTCTGTCCCAGTTCACCACCCAAACCCTCTGCACTCCCACCTTACAATTCCCTTCCAGACCCTGAACTCTCTCCTATACTCCTCTCCTAAGCCAGAATCCTCTCCTATTCCCTTCTGGACCCTGCTCCTCAATCCCCTGTACTAGGTCACAACCTCATCCTTCACCCAAACTCCCTCTCAGACCTCACACCCTTTCCTGCACCACAATCCCTTACCCCAGGCTCCTTTCTGCACCCAACCTCCATCCCAGATCCCACACCCACTGCATGGAAAATTGTGGCCCTTGACCAGTTACCAAAATCTTGGAGTGCCCCCTCCATCAAAAATTATTGCTCACCTCTTTACTTGTGTTATTTATTCTGGCCAGAACAGTAGATTCTACGAGGAGTAATCAAAATTGCAATGGAGAAAACTAATTTTATCTTTCAGAATGGCTTGAAGAGAAGAGCTCCCTTACTAACCAAGGACTACTTTCTGTCAGTGCACATCACTGGGACCAAATAACAAATTCTCATTTCTCACCTGAAAAGAAGACCCCATTCTCACCATTACGTTTGAAAGCTAATCCTCATATCAATGTATGTGATTCAAATGAATCTGTTGAACAACTAACAAGGCAGGACAAACAGGAAAGTGAAACAGAAGGACCAATGCATTTCTTATATCATGAAAAGAAAAGAAAAGATTTATCTGACTCACTTAATTGTAAAGAAGTATTTTTTAACTCGAACAGCTCAAGAAAAAGCCAGAAAACGTCACCATTTGAACAGTCTAGACAATGTCATGATGATTCTGACCTGAGCAGTTTTATCATGCTGAGATCGAAACAGGTTTTCATCCAAAATGAGGAAAAAAATAATGTGGATAGGCAGAAAGAGGGTGAGTCATTCTGTCCTATAATTTTAAGTCTAATTCTGCTCTCATTCTTTGCTATAAATCAAGTATAACTCCATTTATAATAATTCCTTACATGACCCATTTACTTCAGTGGGTCCCGTATTTCATCCATGGTATTTACTTTCTATTCTTTTTAGTAGTTTTTTTAGACTGTGTACATTAAAGTTTGGTTCCACTTTGAGAAGAAGATGTAAAATGGTACCCTCTTACTCAGACTGTCTGCTCCACTTGCATGTTTTGAATCAAATCTGCTGATTTTTGTGAGTTTCTGCTGCTTACGACTCGTTAGCCCTGCAGAGTCAGCACAGTTAAGAGGAAGCTACATTGTATTTCTTCTTATCTGGCAGAACCATTCTAAGTAGTTACACCATGCAAGCCCAATGAGGCAATGAAGCTGAATAGTTGTCTGTGAAGACAGAACATGTTTTGAAAAATATTTAATCACTGCTGATGTAGGGGAAGGAAACCTAGCTTACAGACTGAGTATGCAGGACTGGAACATAGAAAAAATATATTTACTTATAAATTGACCACCTTTCCTACAGAAATAATTGAAAGATGATGAAATGTTAAGTTGGCTACTTTCCAGAGTAGAATCACAGTAATAAATAAAATATTGCAGGCGCAGATCCTGGTTAGCAAAGCTTCAACACTAATTATGTACCTGTGTATGTATGAGTTATATATCCTTTGGAAGAGAAGTTTGTAGTATAAACATTGTTGCAGCACTAATTTTAATAGCACGAAGTAGTGCTATGATAACAGATTAATAAGGATTTTAATTGTATCCTTGAAAAAAGCAATTATTTGCAAGACATTTGAATAAACATTTAAAAATAAAACCATTTATTACTGCTTTATATTGATACACACGCAGATCTTGAGAAATTGATAATCCCTCTTCTAGAAGTACCGACTCAAGATATGTGAACTGTGGTCTTATGTTACCATCTAGTGAACTCTAACTAGAACTGCATCTCTGAGTGGTACTATGGATAGAGACTTAGTTAAATATAGTGTAAACAAGTAAACTTCTCTAGTCTGACACTTTCTAGTCCAGCAACATCCATGATTTGACATGATTTTAGTGTGCCAGATGTCCACTTATGGGTGTGGCCAAGTTTCCTGAGGTTCCATAAAGTTTGTTTACAACCACCAGTCCTCGCTCTCAGTGTTCTGTGCTGATATTTAGCTCTAATTTACATAACTGAATAGTTCAGTAAGCAGTAGAAGTGTTGGTAATGCTACTAGATAATATTGACCTCCCATGGTTCAGCAAATTCTGTGGTTCAGTGCCAGACTAGAGATGTTCAACCTGTAAATCTATATAGATATCCTCAAGTGTTGTATGTTAGTAATGATAAATGATAAATGTTTAGTCTATCAAATCATAGGCAGATGTCAATTCCTTCTACAGTACGATTCCAAATTTAACTGAAGGCCTACCTGTCTCCTAATAAGTTAGTTTGCCATGCTGTGGGGGCTGATAGCTCCAAATGTGATCAGCAACAGCTGGAGGGAAGCTGCTGCCTGCTCCTCCTTTTGCAAGGGGAACAGAGATGCTGCGGGACCCTTATGAGAGCTTGTGACTCTTTATTTGTATGGGGGAAGGAGGGACAAAAAACATAGCAGGGCTAGATGCTGAGGGGCAGTTACAAGTAAAGATGGGCAGATTGCATTTGCTCCTTGAATATGTCATCCCTAGTATGTTTTTGCCTGTAGATTTGTGCTAGCCAGACAGCTGATGGAGCCAGAGGATTGTGCACTGTAATGAAAAATGTCCTAATGCAGCTAAATTTGATCTAAGCTTTCAGGGTAGACCAGGCCTTAGTCCAATTGAATTCCTGCCCTCAGATGCTCTTCTACCTAGCAGTTTCCCTGCCTTAATTCTCAAGTAGGAATCTCCCTTTAAACAAACACTAGACAGCTCCCACCAGCATCTACATTTTGCCAGGATGTGGATATCCATCAAAGAGGGCAGGTAGCTGATTCCATTCTCATCTGGCAGTACCCACCAACAAACATAATCAGACCAATGTATTGTGTCTGCAGCCAGGAAGTGTGGAAACTTGGAGGAAATAAAGAAGAAATATTTTCACTTTCTTTTTCCAAAGTAAAAAACACAATTATTGTTCTGTGGCACAAGGAGCCTCCGGAATTTGAAATGTTTAGTGAGTAAAGCAGTGGTGGGCAACCTGCGGCCCAAGGGCCGCATGTGACTCATTGGAGATCTATGTGTGGCCCAAGAGACGTTTTGTTTATTATTGCCCATTCACAGGAGTAGCCAGATTCTGCTGGTTTTCGTCCATGTAGTTTTTTTTCTCCTGGTATTACAAAAGTGGCATGCACATAAAGCAAGGGCATGTGAAGTGAGGTGTGTTCTGATTGCACACAACTTTGTGAGAGCTGTGTACTCCCTCTGCGTCCAATCAAAGTGCTGCTAGAGTTCATTTGGCACACCCTGCAAATTCTAGGTATGCAAGCACTGTTAGCAAAACTATGCTATCCTGGGAGATCTTCTTGGTTACAACAATATAGTGGCCCACTGAAATGAAGGAGGGCCGCTCGTGTAGCCCACTCGCTAGCCTAGGCTGCCTTTCTCTGGCTATAGGAATGTATTAGAAAATGTACTTATTTTGTGGGCTTGTCTTGTGATAATTTTGTATAATCTATGTTTTACATTTTAGCGCCAGAAATTAAAGACTGTTCAGAAGTTGTCAAACAAACTGTTTGTAAGACTATATTGACAGAGAAAACAGAACAGGAGAATCAAGGCACCATTTCAGTCAAAATTCAAGCATCGGGTATAGAATTTTGTTTTGAATGGTCTGTTTGTTTTTGCAATATTGCAATTATACATTAAGTAATATCTATCCATACAAAAACATTTTATTCTCTCCTGTCTAAGGCTCTTACCCTGCAAAAATTCAGTATGGGTGAACCCTTATGCCCATGCAGACTATCATGTAACAGTCCTTATATTTCACCATGATAGTATCATATGTGAAAGAATTAAAAGAGTTTTTCAGTCAAATATAAGCTACATCCAATATTAAAAACTTAAAGACAAATAAAACATTTTTACCAATTATGAAATAATAATACATTGTAATATCTTACTGGAAGCATTAAGCACTTTAAAAAGAAAATGATTGATCAATAAATGAATGAATGAATTAAATTATACTGAATACCAAAACCAATATAGTTTCTGATCTATCCTCACAAAGAATGTAGAATTGGAGATTATGAGAATGAGCAAGTAGTGCATCTTCAAAGTACTTTATAAATATTAACTAATTTTAATACTAACTAATCTGCCTCTTGGAAGGTGGATTAATTAATCCGACAAGAGAGCTGTCTCCTGTCAGCTGAGAGCATCTTCATTAAAATGCTACAGTGGTACAGCTGCATCAGTGCACAGTTTTGAGTGTAGGCCTACCCTTAGAAGGGTTTACAAAACAGCCATCCAAGAGTTATTAAAAATAACAAATATGAAGAAAATTAAATTCATGTTGCAGATTTCTTGAAGAAAATGATGCTTTTGGTTTTACAGGACATTTGAGTACATTTATCTCTAATAGTAGCATATTTAACCAAATCATGTTATCTTTTGTGTTTGTTTGTATTAACCAGAAAGCCAATGCCAGGCATATCGTCTGTTAGAAGCAACAGCCACTCCAGTTCTAAAAGAATTGGTGCATCTTGGCATACTTGCTGCAGTGAATTGGAGATTTGCCTCTGTTAAATTTGATCACACTAGATTTTTCTTAAAGCAGCAGGAAAAAAAGATCTGTGATATTTTTAAACAAGGTAAAATGCATTGTATTCTTCATCCATAATATTGATGTGATTTCATTTGTAACATAATGTTCAATAAGTTTGGCAAATTATTCACTAACTTTCAAGCATTTCCCTTCTTAAAGGCTGATGGTAACAGACTTGCTATTATGTTTCCAAAATGTCTCCATTCATACAGTCCGTGTTAGGCTTGTTATTTTTAGTAATTTGAATATTAGAATGCAAAAAAGTATTCAAGTCCAAATCTAAATTTCAAATGCTTTAGAAATGTTGGTCTTCATTAAATATACATTATAGGCAATGTTTAAATGATATTCCCACATATATAATTTCAGAGAAAAGCACCAGTTAATTGTGTTGTCCTTTTCTTTGTGGTCAGTGGCAATTTCTTATACAATGCTAATACACTGATATTAATAAAAATCTTGTGCAGTAGCCTGTTATAATACAGTAAAACTGTATACAATCTCATCTACATTACAGAATTATACTGCTATAACTACATTGTTCAGGGATATGAAAAATCTGCACCCTTAAGCAACAGTTTTACTGACATAACTGCCTATATAGACAGCGCTATGAAAGTAGGAAAACTTCTCCCACTGACATAGCTACTGCCTCTCTGGGAGGTGGATTAATTACACCTTCTGTCAGCTTAGAGCATGGGCTTCCAAACGAGGGCATGAAGAAATTCTGACTGAAGTATGTTTAAAAGAATCCTGTCAGTGGGTGCTGATAAAAAGGTCTTCCTGAGACATTAATGTGTTTGCTTCCCTGACCAGCCCAATTATCAAGCAATGAAAATGAAGATCCATTTTTACACATAAAGTAATGAAATCTACATATAGGAAAGGAGACAGCATAGTGACTAAACCCAGCAGGAGAGAGAAGTTTGGTTGGAGTGTTACATTTCAAAGGACACACTGCAAAATTCTAGGAAAGATTCACACTACAAACACTGTATTGGCGCAGCTGCACCAAGGAAGCTGTAACCACTGTAGTACTTTGATGAAGATGCTCTAAGCTGATGGGAGAAAGTTATCCCATTGGCGTAATTCCTTTCTGCCAGAAGTGGTAGCTATCTACATGGGGGTATAAAGGTCAGTACAACTATATCACTGTCGTGTGGATTTTTCAGTGAGGGTATGTCTAAACTACAGAGTTAGTTCGAACTAACGGACGTTAGTTCGAACTAACTTTAATAGGCGCTACACTAGCGCTCCGCTAGTTCGAACTTAATTGTATTATTTCTGGAATCTGGATATTTACTATACCTAGACCAAGAAATTTGGGCCTTGGCAAAAAATGATAGAGTAACCCTGGTTCAAGATTTAATACAACATTTCTTTGAAAAATTCAAGTTCAGGCTATCATTGTATTAAAGTTATTTACTGATTATCAGAGGATGGAGTCTGATTTCTTAGGACCTGCTTTTGAAGTAGTCAGTTGCATACTGAAAAATGGTTAGACCTTTCTATATAGAAGCATGATGTTATCAAGAAATTTAGTAATCTGTCTCTATGTGCTATATATGCTTTAACTGGACTAGTAAAGAAGAGCTCAAAGAATAAAAATGAACAGGTAGACAAAATTTCTGTTTTCCTCCATATACATTCAGTGTTTTCCTTGATGAGATCCTCAGCAAAGCTACGTTAATATTTATATATAAATATATATAAATTTAGGAGACTAATTGCAGGAGACTAATGTTCTGAGATGCCAGGATCCTTTATGTGAGTTCATGCATGCAATATACCTTCTGAAGTTTCTATGCAAACCACATATATAATTATTAAATATATATAACTTTAAATATAAAACTTCTTATTTTCTTTGTATAGGCAAAAATAGTGAGAAAGAAATAATGATATTCAAACATGCTGCTCTGGTGCATCTCTTGGTGACAATTCGAGACCTCCTATTAATGTGTAGCTTGGATACAGCATTAGGTTAGTTTTTAACAATAAAAATGTTTTCTTTTTATTATCATGGTATGCATGTATCCAAAATTCCATTGGATGGCAATCAATATATCATGAAATTCTACACTCCATCTCTCATATTGTGTAATTTTTGATATAACTAAACATTTATAATGCCTTAACTCACTGCTTTCTAAGCATTGCTTCCTATTCATTTCTACATACCCATTAAATGCCATTTCAGTGCAGATAGTATTTCTTTACCATGAATACCTGACACAAAGTTAATACTACTGTTTATGGCAATGCACAGACAGGTGAAGAAATTTCTCTGGGACTTGCGCCCGCTTACATCATATCTGGATTTTGCTCAATCTTCCTGAGCACTGAATTTTTCATGTGAATTTTTGAGTTAGAGGAAAACATATAAAAACGATATATCGGCAGACAACTCCCTTTTGACTTTTTGAGACTTTGGGTATTGTTTATTATGCTGTGTGTTTGGAATAATTTATACCTAAGAAATTAGTTTACTATTTCCTCCCTTCAGTCTAAGCCTTCATCTACACTACAGCTGGATCCAGACTCTGAGATCGATCCAGTGGCACTTGAGTTAGTGGTTCTATTTAAGACCTGCCAAATTAACTACAGATCCCTCTCCCATCAACCCTGACCCCAGATGAAAAGAGTAAGGGAAATCTACAGGAGAATTTCTCCCATTGACTCCTCGCGGTGCAGACCCCACGATACCTTGATTTAAAGTTTGTCGACTCCAACTACATTATTCATGTGGCTGGAGTTGCTTAGTTTAAGTCAATTTATTGTTGTAGTGTAGATGCAACCTAAAATACAGAGAGTGGGGTGGATTCAAGCACAGATATGAAATATTATTTAGCACGTTTGAATCCTCTGTAAAGCTACACCCAATACTAAAGGCTGAACTGTACCCTTTAAACACAGAGGCTGTGTCTACACTACACCGCTTTTCCGGAAAAGGGATGCAGATGAGACAAGTCGGAATTGCAAATGAAGCAGGGGATTTAAATATCCCCCGCTTCATTTGTATAAACATGGCTGCCGCTTTTTTCTGGCTCGGGGCTTTGCGGAGAAAAGCGCCAGTCTAGACGGGATCTTTCGGAAAATAACCCTTTTCTGAAAGATCCCTTATTCCTGATTTTAAGAGGAATAAGGTATCTTTCGGAAAAGGGTTTATTTTCCGAAAGATCTCTTCTAGACTGGCGCTTTTCTCCAGCAAAGCCCCGAGCCAGAAAAAAGCGGCAGCCATGTTTATACAAATGAAGCGGGGGATATTTAAATCCCCCGCTTCATTTGCAATTCCAACTTGTCTCATCTGCATCCCTTTTCCAGAAAAGGGGTGCAGTGTAGACACAGCCAGAGATTATTCCATATTTAGTAATATGTAGATAAGGATCAAGACATAATAGTTCATCTGCTCCTTATTTCACACCTGAAGTCAATCTCCTGTTTGTGTCACATTCATTTCTTATCTACTTATTGTAATTTCACACACAGATTTATCAAAATTTAAAGCATACATGGTTTCTATTATGAAAAATGTATACTCTACAAAACTATGACTTCATGTGGACATAATAGCAGGAGCAGATTAACTTAAAAAGTGAGTGTGTCTTCACTGAAATGTCTCTGGTAATAAATGATGGGGAAGAGGAATGCAGAAATTAGAATATAGAAACAAAATTATTTCTACTCAAAATGTTTTTTTAAGATTTCTGTGAGGTGTCAGCATTGTTAAAAATGAGTGTCAAAAGAAATCTGAAAATTGATCTAAACCCAGAAATACTATGGCTGTGTCTACACTGGGCCACTTATTCCGGAAAATCAGCCACTTTTCCGGAATAAGCTGCGAGCTGTCTACACTGGCCCTTGAATTTCCGGAAAAGCAACGATGCTCTACTGTACAAAATCAGCCGCTATTCTGGAAAAACTATCCTGCTCCCGCTCGGGCATAAGTCCTTATTCCGGAACACTGTTCCGGAAAAGGGCCAGTGTAGACAGCCCAGTAGTCTTTTCCGGAAAAGCGCGTCTACATTGGCCACAGACGCTTTTCCGGAAAAAGGGTTTTTCCGGAAATGCAGCCTGTCAATGTAGATGCTCTTTTTCCGGAAATACTTATAACGAAAACTATTCTGTTTTAAGCATTTCCGGAAATTCATGCCAGTGTAGACACAGCCCATATGTCTCCACCAGTCAGGCTGCGGTAGAATTCAGCACGTAAATAAGACGAAACTAATCATTACTATGAGTTTTCTTGGCAAAAAATATGCTAATGAGGGACTCATTTGTGTGAGTCACAATCTCATTTGCATATTTTCTGCCGATCCATTTTTTTTCACTAGGGGTTTTTGCACAAAAACATCAATAGAGAGTATTCAAATGAAGCACGAGAAAATGCTAATCTGTGCTTCATTTGCATTGCCTCTTCCGGCAAAACTCGTAGTGTAGATGTAGCCATATACTGTGGCAGAGTCAGGCCAGAGAGCTGCTGCAGAGGGGGGACAAGGCAGCCCAAAAAGGGTGAAGACCTGTAAAGAGAAGCAGAGGGCTGCAGGACAATTAGATTCAGCTGGGAGGAAGCTGGCTCAGACAGATTGGGGCCAGCTGACTCCTCTGTTGGCTGGCTGAAGGCCTTTAAAAGCCTCAGAAGTTGGAAGGGGGGACTGAGGATGGAAGAGAGATGAAGGAGAGACAGAGAGCCAAAGGTTAGAGACCAATTCATACCAACATTAGAACAGAAACAGCCAGCCAGGCAGGGAGTCCCAGGTAGCATGGCCAGGCTCTCTAACACAGAGACGTGCTGAAAACTCCAACCCTTGGGATTGGCAGCAAGAGGCTGGCCCCGGAGGTGGCCTGGGTGAGAGGGGCCATTGCCACAATACTGATATATTTTATTTATAACACTCAATTTCTTGGCCTGCTTTAGGCTCACTGTTAATAAACAGTATGCATCACACAGGGATGTTACGGGTAGTAGAAATATCTGAAATAATATGAACCAACTAGAAGGGACTTAGATAAGTCACATTTATCTCATAAGATCACTTTAAAAATAATTTCAAAAGATTAAACTTTGGAAAATGTGGCATAAGAAAAATCCTGATTTAGCTGGAAGCTTCTTGGCTGGCTTAGTATAACAGCTCAATTTTCTGGTATCTGAATTTTCAGAATGCTACTTCTGATTTTAGGTTTATTTATATGACAACTGTTTCCAAAGTCTGGTTAATGGGAGTATTCTGCACATATTTCTGTCTATGGCTAAATGTTCAGCTTTCCTTTGCAAGTTGCCTTCACATGTAGCTAAAGTAAATGTGCAGAGTAAATAGAGATCTTGACAATTTTCTTTCTCTTTTTGCCAATTTTCTTTCTCTTTTTGGAATGTCAGATTTAAATAATTATATCATGCTTTGTTTTTTAAACAGGATATTTATCCAAGGCAAAGGATATCTACACAAACATCTTAGGTTCTTCTTTGGATACTATTTGGAGGCAACTGACGATTGTACAGTGTAGCAGCCAGAAAAAGCATGAAACCAGCCCCAAAATAACAGAACTTCACTGTCAGATGTTAAAGTGGGTGCAGAGTAATACAGAAGAACAGAATCATAAGGTTAACAATTTAAGCAAGTTCTTTAAACAAACAAAACTACTTTAGAACAATACTTATAAAACCACTTTATTTAAATAAGAGTGGGCTTACGATAGGAAATTTTATATTTGACTCTCAAGTTAAGAATAGTTATGAGTAAAGGATAGTGTGAAGCTACACCACCTCAAGAATAGCCCAGAGAATTCTCTGCAGGCTCCCCACTTGCTCCAATGGTGGAGTAATCTACCCAAGCCTGTTACTAGGCACAGATTTTTCCTCCTGTGCCAACTCAGCTATGCTAGCTGGTATCTTTGCAATGGTGGGGGGCAGAGCCAAGGTGTTAATTACTGTGCACATCTACCTGTGTACAAGTTCTTCAATTAAATATGGGCATGCAATTAGTCATTTAATTGTACTGAAACTGCAGTTGCTCCAATAGGAAACAAGGACCCCACATGAACCCAAATAGTTTTGTTCCTGCATTAAGCACACATCATTCTTTTGCTATCTTGCATCATATGTTGAAAATTACCATATGACTTTGGGACTAGGACTTTAGTGTCCAATCTCAGTCTCTGTCTGAAGAACACATAGGGGTGTGATTTGGAGTACAACATTGTTTCTTCTTCGAGAGATATCTCAGAGATTTTTAGAGCAGTATCCTCAAGGGCCATACATGAGTGGTGCCTGGCTCACATGCTGCTAGTGCCTCAATGTTCATGGCCCGTCTCCTCAGTTCCTTCTCTAGTGTCCCCTGCCCTGTCCCTCAAAGAAAAATTTTCTTTCTTCATGGCTTATCTTAATTTTAGCTAGATGGTTCCTCTCCTACTCCAGATAAGTTTACATTAACCCTAGTTTGTTCTTCGCCCTAAAAGAAAAACCTCATACCTTTCCCTGTTACTTAGATAGATAGTATGCCTTGTTCACCAGGTTTTAAAAGATGTGCTACATGCAAGAATGCTGTTCCCATTTCAGATGGCCACTTGCAATGTGTCTGCTGTTTGGGGGAAACCCACATCCCCCATATATGTGCCGCCCACTGTAGCAAGCTAAAAGCTAGGCCTGAAAGGACTTGAGGCTAAAACTTCTTATTAAGGAGAAGTCTCTATGTCTTGCCTCAACGGCCTTGCATCCTCCATGGGCCATTCTATGCCTCAGTCCCCCAAAGAAAAAATGATGGCAAAAAAGCACTTGTCTCCTCACCTCAGAGATGTGCCACAAGATGGTCTCTGAGCATATTGGTACTGGTCACACTGTGCCTTAGCACCTGTGATGCTCCGGGCATCCAGCACTACTTGCACCACAAGAGCTCCCAGTGCACACTACTTTGGTGCCAGAGCAAATGGTTTAAAGTTGCCTGCCTCTTTACCATAGCACTGGCTGACTCTGACAATGCACCTGCACTATTACCTGATCTGGTACCAATCGTCACCTCAGTACCAATTGCCGACCCTCCTGCCACGCTGATGGCTCGACCATCCTTAGTAGCACCAGATAAGCCTACCACACTGTCGGCAATTGTGGTGCAGCATACACTAGTACTGTCCCCGTCAGAACCACAGTTCTCTTACCACAAGGACCTTCGCATACTGTTGATGCTCAGTTTTCTGCTCCTCAGTACCGATGTCTCCTCAGGAACACCAGCACTGTACCTGTGCTGTTTTATCTTCAGTCTCATTTTCAAGTGAGGATGAGGAAAACATGGAGGGAGTCCTCTCACCACAATACTCCACTCCATTTGATACACCTCGGCACCTACTCAGTCAAGATAATCTTATGCCACAGACTTTCCACCATGCTATGGCCACCGTTGGATTGGACCACCTGTGCCTTATATTGTCCACTGGCAATAATGGAGTACCCCACTACAGGCATCCCGCCACCAGACACCAACCTAGTGCAGTGTGGAGCAAGTCCCCAATACAAAGCTATGAGTCCACAGCCACAGAGGTGCATGAGTAACTGGTTCCCCCACAAACAGAACCAATGGCACCTCACTAGAGAGAACACCAATTGGTCATTTTCACCCTATGAAGCCATCCTGCCACCACCTCTCATGGGAGAGGACCACAGATTTTCAAGACTTCTTTAAGAGAGTAGCGGCAGAGCTCAACGTTCTTCAAGTAATGGCCCCGTGGGTGCTCCACTGTAGGTGCTGGGCTTGCCCTGGCGTCGTAGGATGGAGATCTTTCAAAGCCATAGTTAGCCCAACTGTGCATGTGTGGGGGCGTCTCGCAGCATTCGCGCTCTCCCGCACTGCGCAATCCAGTTCTAACCAATTCCTCTCAACCACCTCAGGCTGCAGACAGAGCGAACTTCTCTCTCTCTCATTGACAGCAATTTGTGAGACAAAATCCATTTTCTTTCTCTAGTTATACCTCTTCTTGCTTCTTCCTCTGTTACTCTGGACCCATTTTACTTACCTCCCAGTTTTAAAAAAAAAGAGAAAAAATAATTAAAGTCCTCCTTTTCCCCCTTTTCTATCGTTATTGTTGTTTCTCTCACTGTATACAGTTCACACTCGTTCTTACATCTTCAATAAATAAATAAATATGCCTGGATCCCCAGGATTCAAAAAATGCTCCATCTGCCACGATGCCAAGGCTGCCTCAAATGGCCATATATCCATTGCCTCGGTGAGGGCTGTGTACCACAGAAGTGCGTACATTGCTCTAAACTCACAGCTAGAGCCCGCCGTGATAGAGAAATGAGGCTCCATATGATCCTCTTTGACAAGACGCTCCAGCCTGAAGGATCAGCCTCTCCTCCTCAAGCCACCCAGCAATCTCAAAAGAGAAGAGCCTCCTCACCGACTACGGCACCACCGCAAAAATCTAAGTCCTCTCCCGCTAGATCACGGCCCTTAACTTCCCATGGCAGGATTAGTACGGGGTCCAAGCCAGGCACTTCACGATCCTTGTACTATCGCCATGACTACTGTAGGGATTATTCGCCTCACAACTGCCATCACTATTATTCGCCCAGATCTCCACCAAGATCTACTGCGGGCTATTCTTCATTGAGACACTCTTCTCTTTTGGCTCCCCCATTCCTGGATCAAGAGCCACTGCCGCCCCAACCTCCCCTTCCTGATCATGAAGAGGAGCGATTCATGACAAGGGAAGCACAGCCACCCGAGGTGTCTCCCACAGACCAGTCCTCCTCACCAGATGAGGCAGTTATCCCCGGGGATGTCTCCCCCCCGGATGACCTAAGGCAGTTCCAGGATCTCTTCAAAAGAGTGGCGGTTTCCCAGGAGATACAACTAATACAAATAAAGAAGCAACATTGTCTCCTTAAGAACCTTCAGACCAACCAGAGTGTTAAGCTGGCTATAGCTTTAGATGAGGCCATACTCGAGGTTGCCAATGAACTCTGACAAACCCCAGCATCTGCCCTCCCTACTAATAAACGGGCAGACAAAAAGTACTTCGTGCCCCCTTAAAAGGTCTGAATTTTTATTCACTCACCCTTGGCCAAACTCCCTTGTAGTCGACGCAGTGCACCAAAGAGGAAAAGTGCCTCAATGCAAGAACAACACAGCAGACAGAGAGTCCAAGAGACTTGATTTATTTGGGAGAAAAGTTTACACATCTTCAACCCTGCTCCTCAGAATAGCCAATTATCTAGCGCATTTATCAAACCATAACTTTGATAATTACTCCAAACTGACGGCTCTGATGGAGGCACTCCCGGAATCCAAAAGACCACTGCTAAAGTCCATCGTACAAGAGGGCTATGCATCCACACGGGTCAGCTTGCAAATCTCCATGGATGTGGCAGACACTGCAGCTCGCACCACAGCTATGGCTGTAGTTATGAGGAGGGCTTCCTTTCTTCGATCTGCAGGAGTCCCCAGGGAGCTGCATTTGAGAAAGACAAACTATATGGAGAAAAGACGGATACAGTCTTCCACTCCAGTAAAGAATCTAGGACAGTCCTTCGATCTTTGGGAATGTACACCATATAGAAGGAGGCGCTATACACCCTTTCAAAGGTGCTATGACTACTTGCACTCCAGGCAGCCACGACAACACCAACACTGCCCTTTTACCAACCACGCCAACACCACAGACTTCTGAGACGTCGTAACCTCAATAATCGTTCAGGGTATGTCCACACTACAGCTAATTCGAACTAATGCATCCAGACTAAAAAACTAGTTCGAATTAGCGTTTTGCTAATTCGAACTAGCATGTCCACATTGAGTGGACCCTGAACTGGGGTTAAGGATGGCCGGAAGCAATGCCAGCAGGGCATCAGAGTAGGACTTAGAGCGTGGAGCTGCTGTCTCAGGCTAGCCGAGGGCTGTGCTTAAATGGACCCGATCCCCACCCCGGACAGACAGTTCTCAGGGGTGCTCCGCTTGCAAAGCAGTCCTGGCTTGGATTGCCCGGAGTACCCACACTGGGCACATCACATCACTCGGCCATCAGACCGGCTGCACTTGCCGCAGGCTGCCATCTGGGGAGAGGGGACAATTGGGGGTCTGCAGGAGAGCTTCCACCCCCAGAAGCCCACAGAGCCAGCCCAGTCCTCCCCATCGGGGACTCGTACCCCATTCCTCCCTCACCTCCTTCCACTTACCCCTCCCTAACCCCCCCTTCCTGATGTACAAAATAAAGGACAATTGTGTTCAAAAATAGAATCTCTCTTTATTGAACAAAACTGGGGGAGACTGGGAAAAGGAGTTGGGAGAGGGGAAGAGAGAGGGTGGCAGAGGGGAGGGCAACTACAATGATCAGGGGTTTGGAAGAGGTCCCATATGAAGAGAGGCTAAAGAGACTGGGACTTTTCAGTTTAGAAAAGAGGAGACTGAGGGGGGATAGGATAGCGGTCTATAAAAGCATGAGTGGGGTGGAGAGGGTGCATCAAGAAAAGTTCTTCATTAGTTCCCATAATAGAAGGACTAGAGGACACCAAAGGAAAGGAATGGGTAGCAGGCTTCAAACTAGTAACAGAAAGTTGTTCTTCACAAAGCAAAGAGTCAACCTGTGGAACTCCTTGCTGCAGGAGGCTGT